CCCTCTGGCATCTATGTGTTGATTGAATAGACATATTTACACTACTTTGATACGACGGAAAATCACCAGGCCAGCCACTTTCTTACTCCCCTTGCTCATGACGCCTGTAGAAAAATAGGCCAAAACTAACAGAATTACAATCTGATGTACACGCATTGTGCGTTCTATCTATGTGGACGTTCAATGTGAACTAGACACCGAAAATATTTGAAATGAATGGCTGCGATATGACTATGGCTATATATACTCTCGCTGATGTCGCAAGAACCACTTTCTCTGTTCACACAAACACTCCCCAGTTTCTAGTTTCTCTAATGGTTGATAAACGTTTTTTTTTTTCGTTCTCTCGCCCATTGCTTGTTGAAGTGTTAAGAATGAAAGATAAACAATGAATACCCATGCGGGGATTTACGTGAATTGAATTCGGAGCACGAGTGTAATTATTTAACCGATCTCTTAGTCAGTTGTTGAATATGTAGATGGCGGTCGTGTCGTGTGTTTGTGTGTGCTGTCACTTCCAGCAAAACATATGCATATGTATTGGAATCGATTCACTGTCAACAGTAAGACATTTGGTTGTTTCCTATTACACGTTTAGAACTTAGTTGTATTTATACGGTGATACAACATTCACACAACATTTCTTTTTTGAGACTGGTGTGGATAAAAAGAGTTCAAGTTTTATTCATTGATTTCGACAAATTTTTGGTTTAAATTTGTTTTTTTTTTCTCGATTTTTTGTTTGTATGGACGCACGCATGTAGTTTAATCTGTCAACTTATTTTGCCAATAAATCAGCTGTTTTCTTTGATAACCACAAACTTTGCACAATAAATGACGACGAACGAACAAACGAATGAAAATGAAACAAAAATAATAATGACATACGACAACAAATAGTATGACGTGAATTGAATGTGCACAATTTTGTTTTTCTTTTTCTCAACAATTTGTGAATTAAACAAGAGTGTGAACGCATCCAAGTGACCTATTTATTTTATCGTTTAGCACGTGAAATCAAAATAAGACAATTTAATGAACTTTTTCTTTAAAATGTTCGAAGAACGTTTCATTGTTTATAAGTTTCCAGTGAATACCGATTGAAATCTGTGAATAAATGAACGACTTTTGTTTGATTGCTTATTTATATTGAAGTCAGACACCTATTTTGATGCAATAAATCGCATACTATTTGAATGATTCATGAACTTCAACGAAGGCCAATCGAATTGTTCAGCACCGTTTTTAGTGTTTGCACTTTCATGTTCATTGCACACATACGCAACAGCTTTGTATTCCTTTGTTACGTTCGATTAAATTTTGACGCGTGCGAGCCTTTCTCACTCGTGTTGCGTAGACCGTAGAAATTTTGCGCAATTTGTCACTCGATATTCTTTTCGCTCTTGAACCAAAAAAACGTATCAAGATTACACGCATAAATATTCAACATATTCTTCTATTTTATTACTGAATCGCCCCGAAAATTGCTCCAAACACAATATGACGGAACTGAATATTCTAAACAGTAATTCGACCGAGCTGCAAGCAGTAAGTTCACCATTCCATTTCATTCATTATTTTCCCACATAGGATAATTAGGTGCATAGTCAATTACATATGCTGAATGGACAGAAATGCTGGTATCACATTTCGCTTGACACTTTACTTATGGTGATGGTTTTTTTTTTGTATGACGCACTAACAAAAGATATTTATTCGCTTATTAGTTCACATGCAGGCTTGCCACAGGCGACCATTTCGACTATTTTCAACTATTTTTTTAAATCGCAGCTATTTTCGACTTTTTGACCCAAAATCTGACTATTTTTCGCCATTTCCTACTATTTTTTTTTCAATTCAAAAACAAAAGAAATTACAGTATAGAAACCGATCGAAACGCAAAGTAATCAATATAAGAGATAATGAGCCATTAGCAAACGAAGCAAAGATTGGATTATTTGTTTAATATTTATTCTTATCATATGTTAATGTTTTGTTTAAAAAATGGATGTATATATACAAAATGGATTTACTGATAGCACAGCAATGGCAAAATTTGATCGAATTGTTATAACAATAAATAAATATTTATGGATTTCTTGGAAACCCAATGTCTAGCCCAATGTATATTCACATAACGGTTCGATATTCAAGAATATCCATGAAATATCATTTGATTGAGCTCAGTTGTCTTGCAGCAATGAGCGAAAAAACAACTTATTCGTTCAGCCCAGAATCGATAATCAAAAATTTATAATAAGTAAAATTTTTGCCCGTCACAGCGATATTTTTAGGCTTGTAATTTCAGTTTATTATTGAGGTAAGAATTTCGACTATATCTATTTTTTTTAAAACAAATTTTAACTATCTTTGCTTTTTTTTATAAAAAAGGCAACTATTTCAACTAAATTTTAAATACTTTTTTCCGCTTCAACTATTTCGACTAAATTTTTCTTCAAAACGAATGGCAAGCCTGCACATGCAATGAGTGTTTTGTTCCCTACAAATATTTAATTTACTAACATATGTCTCACTTGTTCGAACGGTGATGGAAAATATTCCATTGAATTTGTGATTATTGGAGACGTCAGCGAAGGAATTGACACTTGATTCAATGTAAATTAGAGTAGAAATGGGTTGCAGGCAATTATGTAAACTGTGATATTTTCCTAGAATCAACGCTAAATTACACTGTTTACTGCATGTGACCACTAATTTGTTGCATAAGAAGTGTGTTTTTAACTGTTTTATCATTTGTCATTCGGTTAGTTTCTCAGCAAACATTACTCTCTAGTATGGTTTGAATTTCATCCGATTTCATTTCCAAATGTACAAAGATCATTTTTATATTAGAGTATGGAAATTTCCATAAGCTGGCTGCAGACATGAATCATCGTACGCACATCTTTGTGTGTCACACCAACAAAGCCACTCAACTGCTTATGTTTATCATTTTTATTGTTGCTTTTTGTTTTGATTCTCCAAATCGAATGTAACGGTTTTGATTTTTCATATATTTCTTCTGCGGCCGTTTCCGCAACATTGATTTTATTTACATTTTTGTCGCTTTGAATTTGCATACTCATTTCTTCTATAATTTTGGTTTATTTGATTATTTTATTGATTTATTTTCATTTTCAACAATTTTGTCGTTCTAATTCTAGTAATTGAAAGAGGCCCACTCACTCTGGCTGTGTGGATGATAAATATCGTCAAAATTAATGTTTGTCCGATGTTGATAGTTCGTCGGACACTAGGAAACTTGCCATATTGATTAAGTTTAAACGCCTCCTCACACAAAAATCAAGTTCAAAATCGAATAAAAGCTTTGAAATCGTAGGTGATACACACTTGAATAGTACAATTCTATCGGGCTACCACGTTACTATACCACTTTTGCAACTACTACTTTTTTACACTCATTAACTTTTTAATTTGATTCGGTTTTTATAAAGGTATGTATAATTTTTTCTTCTTCTTACTTTTATTAATTTTATTTTACACTTTTGTTAATTTTTCTTTCATTGCACACACTTGCTCTCTGCCATGCACTATTTGCAAAACACACACAAACAAACACAACCAATCACTTTCAATAATGTCAACTAAATCATGATCCATATTTGTTCTATACTGACAAATTGCATTACGCTAACGATGTGACATTTTTTTTTGGATCAAGTTCAATGCCGACAGTGTTCGACGTTACTTGTTGATCGACATATCGATTGAGCTTCATTTTCCGTTTTCCGTGTTTTGCTTTTATTCTTTTTTATTGTGTTGATTCTCATTGATTTTGATATTATTCATTTCAATTAATATTTCCGTTAAAGGTCGTACAAGGCGGTGTTTGTTCGCTCAAAAATGATAGAATATTCCAATTGAATGTGAAAAAAAATGATAAAAAATAAATACGAGATATTCGTCGGTTTTTATTCTGCTGGCAAACACAATGTCATTTATTTCTGGTTAAAATGAAATCGCATGCTACAAATCATATGTTTAATTCACAACTTTTTTTTCGGTCGTTCAAATTTCAGCTGTTATCTCAAGGCGTAAAAAACTCAATTCGGTATCGCGTTATCTCAATTTCTCGGCACATGTTGTATAACATATTGTATAACATAAAATATTTAATGTCATTAATAAATAATTGGACAAGGACAGAACAAAACAGATAATCGTGTCAAGATGAAGGGAAAAGGGAACTGTGTTTAGTAAACCGTTCAACAGCACAAAACTATGGAAAATTTTGTATCTTTAGTGCAATAGCCACACCTCCTTCGAGAAGTTTTCCGTAATAGATAAATGCACTTTGTCGCACACATACACACACACACATACGCACTGAATATGATCGGTTTGTTGTGTGCTTTAAATCCGTCCCTTAATAAAAGCAACAAAAGAAAGTGAAAACGCACACAAAACGTACGAAATTATCTCTACTGCGGATAGACATGTATGCAAATAAAACGAAGATGAGTTCATCGAGGATCTGAAATTGTTGTTAAGTCGCACAATCGATTGGCATTCAGTTCAGTCAACGTTCGAACACCGAACTGATCGATCGATCGAATTCAATCAGAAGTTTGAAAAACTTCTATTTTTAACGAATATTTGGCCTGAATTTTTAAACGAAGATCTTCAATTTTCACTCCAAGTGAAGTTTCTTTGAATTGGTGGAATCTCAAATAGCGAAAAGTTTCAAGAATTCTATCAAAAATCATTTGAATTCATAGTTTTCTTTCAATCTTCACTTCAAAACTACCAAAATGTTTAAAATCTATTTCACAAAGGTAATTTTTTCTAAATCAAAATGATGTGATATATCGTGAAACGTTTTTTTTTGTTCGGTGTTGCTTTGCGGAAATTTCCAAGACGACGAGGCGTCTAAATCGTACTAAATCGTGCAACGAAACAACATAGCAAAACAATAAAATATCAGCCGACTCGCCGGTTTGATAACAAGCGCTAACATTTCTGATTTAATAATGCACATGAATTTTATTATTGACTCGATACGCACGCGTTCATCCTATGCATTTCAATTTTGATTATCGTTCAATGAAAGTTCACATAAATATTCGTTTTTTTTTTCTTTCGTGCCGTTTTCTTATCGTTACAAATAGTCCAAGCATTGTCATGTCATTTCTTTGAATGACCTGATTGTCATATCGCATATGCCGACCGAATGTCTCGAAAATTTTCCATTCAGCTTCGGTGCATTCGGTGCAGTACGACGCAATGCAATATCGCACAGTCGAATGAACGGAACGAGTGCAAGAAAAAAAGTCAAGATAAAATTAGTCATATTGCTGAAAATGAAAAAAAAACGCATTCGTAAACTGAACGGCAAACGAAAAATGGAATGGGATACGGTCGCAACATAAATACGATTATTATCAACGGTTGCTCCCATTTTCATCGGTCGATCTGTGGACGCTTGAATCACGTTTTAATCGTTTTCAACGCGAAATTCCTTTGAAAACACTGCAATATCGCAAATAGTGATGAATAATAACGAAAATGCCATGACACAGCGGTCATTTTTCTGTGTTTATGCCAATTGTGCAGTTTTATCAACAAATAAAAACTTTACTTGGAATTATGTGATTCGAATTTGCATGGAGTGCATTTTCGAGTTGCCTTTTTCCTCGTCATTACTCACTGTCAACTCGGTTTGATGCGAAATCTAATGATATTTTCATTATTGCAGCTAAACAAAATGAATCCGGAGCGACGGCCATTGCTTATGGATGCCGAAGTGCAGGGAAAAAGCGCGAGACCGAGACCGGATTTGCGAAGTTCACCCGATTCAGTATTGGTGGATGTTAAGAGCGGAGATGAAGGTAAATTGGTATTTTCCAACCCATTCCGTATTTATGTTACAGAAAATTTGATTTTTATTTTTGAACATTTTTCATCGAAATTTCTATTGGTTTCGTTATAGGTTCAGAGGGTTCATCGTATGGATCAAACGATTCGTTGCAACATTATGACCCGTCAATGCATCGGAAGTTGGATCATCCGACATCGAATGTTGACACAATGATTCATTTGCTCAAAGGTATTTGCTTTCTCTGTGTAAGAATTTAAGCCAGTAGACGATCATAGATGGAGCACAAAGTTTTATCAAATTAAAAACAAAAACAATGAAAAAATGAAAATTTTGAAAATTTTCAACAGGAAATATTGGCACTGGCATATTGGCGATGCCTGACGCTTTCAAAAATGCCGGCTTATACGTGGGTTTGTTTGGGACGATGCTGTTGGGCATCATATGCACACATTGCATGCACATGTTAGTCGGCTGCTCGCATGAGCTGTGCCGCAGGCTGCAAGTACCTTCAATGAATTTCGCCGAAGTGTGTTATAATGCATTCGAAACCGGACCACAAGGATTGCGGAGATTTTCCAATTTAGCAAGGTAAATATTGCGAAACATTTAAAATTGTGATCATGCTAACTCTCCTTTTCTATCCACAGACAAACCATTAATCTGTTTCTGTGCATAACACAACTCGGTTTCTGTTGCGTATACTTTGTGTTTGTGGCGGTTAATCTGCAAGAGGTCGTCGCACATTACTTTATTAAACTTGATATTCGGCTGTATTTGCTGTTACTGTTAATCCCAATGATTATGTTAAACTTTTTGAAGAACCTCAAGTATTTGACGCCGGTTTCACTTTTTGCATCCATTTTAACTGTAACTGGTGAGTTGGCAGAAATACCACAATCTTATTATTATTCAGTCTGTGATTAGACGGTGAAATAAATACTAAATAAATATATCTATCACTATGTTCAAGTGCTAATGACACATTTCTTCCAGGTATTTCGATTACATTCCATTACATGTTGCAAGATCTTCCAAAAACGGACTCAGTCAATGGGTTTTCGTCGTGGGAACAATTACCGCTGTACTTTGGCACTGCTATTTATGCATTTGAAGGGATTGGTGTTGTGCTTCCATTAGAAAACAATATGAAAACGCCACAAGATTTTGGCGGTTTAACTGGTGTTTTGAATACGGGCATGGTAATCGTAGCATCATTGTACACTGCTGTTGGATTTTTCGGCTATTTAAAGTATGGAGACAAAGTTGCCGCCACTATTACATTGAATTTAGATTCGAATGCTGTGTAAGTAACCAGTAACAGCGTAACATTTATAACCAGTAACCAGTAACATTTTTTCAAGTTAATGGTTGATTTTAATGGAAAACATGTTTATCTCCAACAGTTTGGCTCAATCGGTGCGATTGATGATGGCGCTAGCGATATTCTTGTCGTACGGTCTGCAGTTCTATGTTCCGATGAACATAATGGGTCCATGGGTTCGAAATTTATTCACGGGTGAATATGCACAGAATCTCAGTGACTCTGGTCTACGTATCGGCTTGATTATTATCACATGTGAGTTCATTTTCTTCAACAATTTCTCTCTCTTCTCATTGAGCGAAAACTCATTCTAAAACACTAATTGTTTCTCCAATATTTAGTTATCCTGGCAGCTTTGGTTCCAAATCTTGGTCCAATCATTTCATTAGTTGGCGCGTTGAGCTCATCAACGCTTGCGTTGATTTTCCCACCGTTAATCGAAATTGTAACATTCGGTCCAGAACGAATGGGTCGATACTATTGGAGGCTATGGAAAGATTTGGCCATTATGATATTTGGCATTCTCGGTTTCTTCTTTGGATCGTATGCAAGCATAATGGCTTTGCTGAATCCAACACCACAAGCAACAACGTAAAATATGACAATGAGATACACAGATACCTCTGTTGATTACAATGGAATTTTTTTTTTGGACAACGAATGCAGTGGATAGTTTTCAGCTCAAAAAGGTCAAGAGAAGAGTCTATCCCAGTATTTTATTGATGGCAATAAAAGTTGCAAAATGACACTTGAACCATGACATTTGCACGGAAATTTCCGTTCCGAGCGGAGCGAAGAAATGGTGTGCAAAAGAGATAACGAAAGAATGGTTATTACAGTAGTTTTCCATTGATAGCATTCTGTGCTCGTTAAAAAAAATACCTTCCATTTGATCTCTCACAGAGTTGATGTATTTTCGGTGCTTGAAACCATTCTTATATATGTGAAATACTTTCATTCCCCTTCATACGACCAAGTTTTTAGTTTAAGTGACATAATCATTCAGAAAGAAAACAATTTGGCTTTGGTAAAACAATGGATCATTTCTGAAGAGTTTTATGCCGTACATAAACTCATTTTAAATGCTTATAATATTACCAGAATGATGTTTAAAACATTTTTACAAAAGAGAATAGCAGACAACATCCTTTTTTCAAGTACTCTCTGCATGGAGAGCCATATAAAGAGGCGTATTTTACATTACACTCTATCCTATGTTACCTTTGTTAATAGTTTAAATTCAATTCCGCCGATTTCGATTTGTTCAAGCAAAATTCATTTCAATTGTGATAGAACTTGGTTTTTATCCTAACATTTAAATTGATAGCTCGATTTTATTTTCGATTTAATTTAAAAATCATTAGTTGATATTTTTATTGTATAATGAATTTTCATCTAATTTCATGTAAATAATTTTACACATTTTCAACGAGTATTTTTTTCTTCTTCAATTGCACATTTTTTTGTGATTAAGTGAACGTGTGAAATAGTTTTAGTTTTCTTAACGAATTTTTTTCCCTCGTTTTCACCGCCCTTAATTATAATTTAAGAAGAAATGTTAAATCAAATTTACCGAATAATTGTTCAGTTAAAGTTGAATTTATCAGCAAATGTTTCTTTTTTTTAGAAAAATATTTGTTCAATTATATTAACATTTTGCCATTGTGTTTCGTTGCAATAAACACTGCGAGTAATCATGTTTCAACGATTTTTTAGTTGACAAAAAATCTGAACATAGACAATATAAAATTTTATTTAAAAAAAATGACAATAAAATCAAAATGAACGTGTAAATAACGTGTAAAACTTTGACAATAATTCTTTTCCATCGGATTTAGTTGAACCAAAAATGTGTGAATGTTTGTGATTTGGCCAAAAAATAAATGGTGTCTAAAGATTTACTCGAACTGGCAAAACATTGTTCCGAAGAAGTTTGAAATCAACAAAAATTAAATGACTAACGAAAATGAGAATTTCCCATTGGACATTTGTCCATGGGTCGTTACCCTAAAAAAAACTGATAATTTATATATTGAACGGTGGTCGATTGGCTACCATGCGATGTCCTTTTCGGATAAAATTATGTTTAATGTTCTATGTGTTATGAGCCTAAAAAAAGACAAAATAAAAACAATGAATAAACTCAAAAGCATTGCAAAAACTTGGTATTTTTCTTACCTCATTGTATGCACTGGGATCGAGGATGGAAACAAAATGCAGATAAGATTGTCACCAGACACGAATGAATGACATTTATGATATTCAAGCGTCCAATACGACTCAAGCGCTTTGCAGGGACTTGTTTGAGGAGCCAACGCAGAACTGCTTTCGTCACATAGAAACGTGTCAATGATGTCGACCGCTTGATGGAAGAATGACCTCAAAATATCCAAACGATGATGACCGCCGGTGTTAATCACTCGCTTATTGCCCACGGCTGGCTGTAAATTACGTGACATCACGTACTTCGAATGCGTTCGATTTACCAGTAAAATACCCAAAATACTTGGATCGAATTGCGGCAAGTTTGTGGAAAAATTTCGTGGATAGCAAAGCTTTGCATTACGCAGCAATTCCAAATCATTTCGCCAAATATGCTGTACTAAACTTGCGGCATCGGAAAACTGTGGCTCTGCACCGCAAACAACACAGACACTGATCATTTGAAATATGGGAATGCACACAAAACGGTATGCGATCGTTGGAGATTTCTTGGGTAGGTAAACAGGTACATCGACTTGAACGGAATTTGATACGCTCAAAATGGTTATGAGCAATTTGCGATCAATCACATTCAAATCCCACCAGCCTTCGGTACCGGCAACTACTTTTTGACGAGACATCACCACACAGCAAAATGGTGAGCCAACTTGATCGGAAAACTCATTCAATCGAGCCAATATCTCTGTTCCACCGCTTGGAATGATACAATCGGTTAGTTTCAATAAGTCCGAGTCGATGTTTTCTATTATTTTATCAACGATTGGATAGCATTTTTGCTGAAATAGAAAGAGATTACTTGAGATAATTGCAATGAATGTGAGAAATATGCCAAAAAATATTCCAAAGAGAAAAGCCAACTATTTTCGAAACAAAAACATACTTTTAGCTCTCGTTTTAATTGCTCGGGATTTTTGTTGTGTTTCACTTCATTTAGGCCAATTGAAAAAATGGTTGCATTGAAAACGATATCCAAAAAATCACGAATCACTTTTTCGGTATAGCCTCTTCCGATGCCAATCATAGTGAAGCAATTTTCGAAATCTTTCCACACAACAACGGTGTCATCTTCCAAATAAGTGCTATTCAGTTGAGCGCCCCGCGACTTGCAAAACATATGCACTCCATTCAACGAACCCACCGTCGAAAATGGAAGCTAAAAATACAAGAAAATTGCTCAAAATCGAATTCAATAATTGTATTACTGAGAAAAAAACTCACCGTATCACAGTCTCCTTTCTTACGTGTAAAAATCGGAACACCACCTGTTGCCGTCAAGCATATAAAATGCAACGACATTCTGCGCAATCACTGAATTTTCCTTGTATTTCAATATATTTTCGTTGCTTTTTACATGCACACTCGGTTTGCGGCATTTGTCAATACATCCAAATTATAATTGGTTTGTACACTTGCCGTGGCATTCGCTGAGGAATTTGTTTATATCAAAAATTTTGTTGTTGTTTTTGTTGTCTTAATGTCGATGGTGGTATAAAAACCATTCTGTCACAGCAATTAGACGGCTTTAGTACTGAAATATGGATTCTGTTTAGCGATCGTGGTAAATGATCGGAAGATCTGAAAAAAGAAGAAAAATGAAACAAGAATAATTGAAGAAAAACACAAATTAAAAGATTAAAGTATCAGTATCTAAAGAGTTTTTATGCTTGAAGTATCAAAAATCACTTTGAAAAAATATTGTAAAAAGTCGACTAAGTCGAGATCTGCACACAAAAATCTAGTACCATCGAATCGTTGAACGCACCGCACTCGAAGCGATCGAGATACTTACAAAGCGGAATACATTTGGCATCGGCTCGAAAACAGTTTGTAAACAAGAAATTACGTATACGTAGCACATGGAAGCATGTTGAATCAAAACAATGAATTGCCGATTGAGCATACATGCAAACTTCATTCCACGCCGTTCCATCAATCACATTTAACATACATGTATGCATACGTATATGCTGGTGAAGTGGAATAGTGCAAGCATGAGACGACTGAGTCGGAAAAAAAACAACAAAATTCTCTCATTCTACGATTCTCATTGCTTTCCAGTTCGGTTGAAGTGTGTATTCCCAAAACTCACACCACACTCAGTTCGGCTGTGAGTGAATGTGGTATACAGATGAAATGCTTTTGTCTTGTTCAGCAATCGTTGTTGTCTTTTCTCTTACTTTGGCCGCCGCACACTCAACGTATATACATAACTATACGGCGAAACAATGAAACCGCTCTATACACACATATATTCATTCCAACAAGCACAGCACTAACCACTGACTTTTACACAACGCTTAAGCATAGGCACAACCTGTGTGTAGTGCAACCAAGTTGTATGGTGTGTGCGTGCGTGTCGTAGTAGTGAAATGAAGTGGTCTTCGTATTAGTTTTCCAAAAATGTATGTTTTGAACGCGCGACTAACTAGAAACATTCAGTGATTGCGGTTTAAAGCGACAAGACGTGTATGTGTTACTGCATGTTTTTCATCGTTTTTCTTCATTCTCTGTGTATACTTCGAGTGTTGCGTTCAAACTGATTACAGTCAGAATTTTTTCCGGTTTAAAAGAAAAAAGAAAGTTATTTCTTGTGTAAAGTGATAAATTCGCCCAGTTTGTGAGTCAACAAAAAAAATTATCAGTTGGATTACGGTTCGAAAGAACTAAAGAGTTCGAAAGACGTGCCAAAGTGTAGATTTTCAAAAAAAAACATGAGTGCAATGCACAATTCATATAAAAGTCAAAATTTTTAAATAAACAAAACGAAACATTTTTTTTTTTAATATTTTGCGAAAGTGTTCATAATTTTTCATAGCGTGTATGCAAGAGCAACGGAAAAAAATTCTTTTCGAACGAATTTGGGATAAACAATGCGATTCAGTTTAAACTAGAGATAATCGTTGAGTGCGTGAGAATATATACACATTACGGATTGCATTTGATGCAAAACAAATACGCTACAAACAGTGAAGCGATTGCAAAGAGAAACAAAATCAGCAGCAACGCGATTTAAAAACAAGCGAAAAAAAACAAGAGTTAGCTTATCGCGCGCGGTGATTATTCATGTGAATACAATTCAAGGTGTGTATACAGTACCATGCGAATGAAATAAGAATTTTGTATTGAATTTAATTGTATGTGGTATGATTCTATTTTGTGTGTGTGTTTCTGTGAAAACAATAACAGCAACCATAACCGAGAGAAGAGAAAAAAAAACGTTAATTCAACCTCTAAAACAACAAAAGTCTGTAATGCGTAAACGCAACGCTGGTCAGTCAATAACAATAGGACACTTGACACAACAAACAGCGAATAAAAAAACAAACAACAGTGAAGATCTAATTCGGATATTCATATTCTATATGTGGTGTAAATGTTCTGAAAAAGTGGCTTCTAAAATGGTGTGTTGGGTGCGAATATATGTGCGATGTGGAAATGGAATCAAAGCAACGTGTTGCGTTTTTTGCTCATTCGGTCAATTGCCTGGGCTGAACACATACCATTGCTGTCGCCATCGCGGCAACAGTAACAGCATGCATGCACTGACTTCTTTTGTTTTAAATTTTTATTCATTTTTTTCCATGTTGATATTTCTTCACTTGTTCGCTATTTGTTTCGATTTTCTGCTGTTGAATGAATGGCTACTAGAAGTAAATATCGTTGAATAGTGGCGATGTGCTCATTTAAATTCTGTTGAATCAAGTATGTGTGTCTTTCGATGAGTGAGTGAGTGAATCGTCGTCATCGTCTTCGTCATTTTATCGACAATATACATGTCGAATGCACGTTCTGTGCGATTTCATTCAACAAAACCCATTCAATTTTGTTTTGTTCGTCCGTTGCTTCGATATCGTGCATTGGCCGGTTCGTTCATGTCGCCTTTAAAATTCATAACGACGCATTCCAATTGATATTATAACTACTACATATATGTGTCTGTGTGTATACTGTATATTATTATCGATACTCCGTTTTGTGCCTAAACCGTTTCTGCAATGTGCATGCATTCTTTAGAATGCGAACAAAAATCAACAACACTGAGATTGCATGTTCGTGTTTTTTAAGCTATACGAGCAAAGGAAAAAAAATTAACGAGCGTAAATGGTTTCTTTTTGTTCCTCGTTTTTTTTCGGCATGTGGATCGATCGATGGCCAATAGTGCTCTGTCTCGATTCAACAATCGTTTTGATTTTGTTTTCGCCTCTGTTTTTTACCTCCAAAAAGAGAATAGATTCGTTTCAAACGGAAGAAAAGGAACACAGAGAATAAGCAATGTTAAGATGTAGAAGATGCCAGCAATTTCGAGCTACACAACAAGAGATATTGTATTTCAATGGCATCAGAGATGATCGATTCACACATGTTTGCGTTCGACGGCACATTCTATCCTTAGGTATGCGTAAAGCTGTGGGCGGCAGCTGCTAATGCTGTTGTTGTTGCTGTTGCTGCTGCTGCAAAAAGTTTTTCTCGTGTCGCATGTGCAATGTGTGTATTCGATTTCTCTCTCTCTCACGCACACAATTATTCTACTTCCTAATTAACAGTTTTCTAACGAATCACATTCAAAACGAGGCGCAAAAACAAAAAATCACATTTCTCAAAAACAAACGAAGAAGAAGAAAAAAAACCATACATACATACACAAACGACCGAGTGAAAAAAAATACCTACTTCAGCTTCCACCAGAGAGATGTGGCACTCAACATGTTCGCCACAGGCAATTGTACGCTCTCCCACTTACCGCTCTCCTTCATTTCGCATTTCCATGTTGTAAAAATACAGAGAAATCGTTTAATTTGTTGCATTCATTTAGAACGGTTTGTCGTGGCAGCGCAACGGCAACAGCCACTCAGAATCAAACTTCAAAAACTAAACGCCAATTAAGCAAGTAAAAATCTACAAATGAATTGCACTTATATGCAGTAAGACGAACGACGCGCACATAACGACCAAGCACGGCAATGTGTCTTTTCACTAACATCAAATAAATGTCAAACACATTTACAGCGAGATATGTGTGCATGGGTCATGTGGTATATTGATAGTTATGTTAACATTAATTATGAGTCAACGCCGCCGAGCACATAGTCAATTTCCCAATGTGACAAAATTCACCGATACAAATGAGCTTGTGACGCATTTTCTCAATATTAGTCTCTTGGAATTGATTACAAACTCTCCGGTTTTTGGTTTCAATGTATGAACACCATTGAGCCTTGATTGAATGGGAATTTTTTTTCGTAATTTTAAAAATGATTGCCTCAACCAAACGGCGACATCATCTGCTTGGGAATTTCATAAAACCAGAAAATTCCTTCAAACATCGATCGATTTGAATTTTTAATAACATCAGCGATAAAACAGATGCAATATGTGGTTGTGCTTGATGCGTGTTTTAAATTATCAAAGAGCTAGAAGGCATTTCTATGGAATTATGGCCAATTTAGTGTCATTCACATGTATTTTCATGTGTTTAATCACACACAATTTTTTCTCTTTTCTCCTATAGATTCGTTAGAGATTTGGTGAATTTCGAGTCAACGGTGTTCCGAGCTACGTGCAGCCAATTCATCGAGTGAATATCAATAGCGTATAAAAACAAATAATACATGCTTATTGAAAGCAATAAAAAGACATTGACAGAATTCTAAAAGTGATTGAACATACAACGATCGTACTGTATTTATTTTTTTCTGTTCAGATGTGTGTGTGTATTGAATAGTGTGTTGTATGTGCAACGCGGTTACGGCGAATCATATAAATAAACATAAACGCGAAAGAGAGAAAGAAACACGCCAAAACAACAATACCCGAAAAAGAAAAAAAACGTATTACCCGAACCGCTTTTCAACTGCGAACGGATTACCGAACAACAACAACCGAAATAAAATACATCAATCTGGAGTTTTTGTGCATACCGGTCAAACAACGACTTACTTCTGAGTCTTCTGATGTTGTCGATGTAAGTGTATTTCATTTTTGTTTTATTTATTCTATTTTTTATCGCATTTAATTTTTTTTTCTGTGTTTCTCCCGTGGATTCTTCAAAAACCCAAACATAATGTGAAATGAAATGAAAGAGAAACACAATCAACATACACTCTGGCCCCGGTCGCGCTGTCGAATGAACCGAATGCGCGCGGGTTATTACCATTTATTCCTTATCTGCTTTAAATGTCGTCTGTTTGCTCGTTATCTTCGTGTCTTGAATGTTAATCAAACGATCAAAGAGCGACATATTTAGAGACACAGTCGCTCATACACACACACACACACACACTTAGAACATTTCTTCTTACCAATTCTGTTTGTTTTCATTCGTTCTGTTTGGAGATTTTTGTTTCGGTAAAGACTAATGCAGCATTTCTTGATTTTTCTGTTTGAAAAAGGAGTGATGCCACACTAGTGTTTGCTAGAATTCATTGAACTTTCATGCTTTGAAACGGTCACCACACGGCACGGTAGCATTAATTTGGTTCGCTCATTTTGAAAGCGAAGAAAAGACAAGGAACCACAAAAGAAGAACGAACGAAAAAATGTATGCAAAAGAATTTACGCTTTTGAATAAAGAGCTGGATGGATACATTTATATTTCAAGTCCAACGGACTCGCCAACTGAATGAAAACGATGTGAATTGATCACAACGTGTGCCATTGTTTTACATTTGAATTTTATGAGTTTGCTCGCGAAAAATTTCCTGAGAAACACTTTTTATGCCGTTTTTTGACTTGCCCTACCCATCACATCATATCACATCGTGTTTATTAAAATGCGTTCGCAAAACCAGCGTGATGACGTATTGACTGTGTTTTATCCACCATTACCGCCGCCGCCTTTGATCCGATTTTTATTTTCTGAATACATTTGAATATGAGCTACGTTGAATTGACAAAGCTGATTGTGTCATTTCATTCACTTCGGACGAACATCCATCGGCTCAGCCAATTAATCGAAAACTGTATTTAAGCCAAGCGATTATAACAGTATCGATTTGAATCGATCATAATATTTTGATGGAAACGGATTATTTATCTAAATCATTCAAGAAAAGTTCACAAAGGGAACAAAAAATTGCTTTCGAGGGAAAAAAAACTGCAATTTGGTTGAAAAACCTCTAATTTTGAATGGATTCGTTTTTCTTGTATTTGAATCGATTAAAATTTAATACATTAGTTTCGGGTTTGGAAGTTATTAATTCCCACAAAAGTGGTCGTTCCAACGAAAAAGAATTTTGGAATTGAATTTGCTCATCAAGGTAATCAAAATGGAAACGTTAGTCAAAAAAAACCGAATCGAAAATTATGAGAGAAAAAAAAAGAAACGAGCGCGTGGGTTAATTGTATGTTCATTACGATGTTATTTATTTCGATCGGATGATTCGATTCGTTCGGCAAATTCACATGAAAATTAAAATGATAGAAAGAAGCGGAGAATAAACCGCTGTCGACGTGGATTATATTGACTAAATTGTCGTCGAAATTCTAAAGCAGCAGATGTTTATTGATTGAGTGAGTGTCGTATTGGATGAATTATTCTTGATCGATGAATATGCCCAAGGCGATGGGCTGTTAATATTCAAGTATCTATTTATTCAGTGATCATCTTTTGCGTTTTGAAGAATAAAAAAAATTGTTGTTCGATTAGTGTCGACAGTGATGGTATTTGTCGCCAAAGCCTCATTTCAATTTCGATGGGATCGGCCTAAAAACAGAAGTTCATTAGAAATTCACGCTTTGCCAAACATGATTCACAATGTGCCACGAGTGTGTCGTACGCCTCTCAGCTAAACAGAGAATTGATTCATCGGCATCGGCAAATTAATAGATAAAGATAGAGAGAGAGAGAGAGAGAGAGAGAGAGAGAGAGAGAAGCATAGCGAAGCAGGTACATACAAGGTGTACAAAGTAGAATGGGAATTGTCTCGGAGAGCAAGAGAGAAATGCGTGTTTGAGTGTCATTCTTCGATTGTTGTTTCATGCAAATGGCATGTTTGCTCCGTTCACTCGCAACGAAATCGTAATCGGTATGCAAATGCCGATCGGATGAGATCACCTGAGTGTGATCGAATAGAATGATTAAAGTGTGCGCGAGCTTGACACAATCAAGCAGAAGAAGGAGAAAAAAACGCATCATTTGCACAATGCCACAGAATTGCGCTCTCTAATTTCAATAATGAAGATTCACTTTTCAATTAGTCCGATTTGCCAACGATAACAAAACAGAAGAAGAAGAACAGGAAAACAGAGTCACTCTCACCTAACATATCAATGTCGTTTATGAAATGAATTGATCTATTATCGTGCCGCTTAACGCCTAACGGATACGGATAATTTGTTGATTCCGACATTCCAACAGGTGATTGTCGTTCATTAAATTGACGAGGGTCATTTCGATGTGGTTGTATAGCGCGAATGGTTTCCGGTCATGAACACATACAATCGACAAAACAATCTTCAGTTTCTTTCACTTTGTTCGTCTTAATTTCGCATTCAATCAGCACGCATCGATTTATTTAAATGAGCAAAATTATTTTGTCAATGACAATTCTATAGGTATTTCATAATCGGTGCCGATGTTCATTTGTCATGCAATAGAAAATCACTATCCACTTATGCCAAGTGTTTGCGTTGAAATTAGATGAGCTTAACGTGATGCAATAACCAACTTATTTTCGGCTCAAATCAATCGTGCCAAACTAACTGTTTAAAGTAAACAGTCCTTGTAGAGTTTGATGCCGCACCAAAAGCAGCAACTTAATCAAGCGTTGAACCGGGATTTCACATGATTGACATTTATTACACTGTGCTTAGTTTATTGCTTAAAAATTGATTCCATCGTCCCAACATGTCCTGACACGTTTCGCTGTTAAAACGCTATACATGGTAGCCGAGAGAGATATTTTATTTGTCTGCATATACGCGCGATGTGAGTGATTTGCATACAGGAATCATTATATTATCAGAAACAGCAGGGTCGCAAAATGGAATAAAAGCCACAATTTTATGGGATTAAACCATTTTTGGAATTCTGAGCTTGGCGAATTTTTTTTTTTCTCTCTCAAATTTTTGTACATTTTCTTTGTATTAAATTCGAAGCTTTTCGCAATAAAATTCCAACAACTCTCCAACAAAAATGTAGACACACAACTCATATGCAGAGCTAGTTATTGGAATATGGCAAACAAAAAAATAGATCGTAGGCAGGTTCACTTGACCAACGGACTTTGTGACGCTATTCAACTTGATCGCCATGTAACCGATTCCTCAATCATTTCTCATAAACTCGGTTCAGTTGTGTTCGTTTGAATAAATTCTACGCAAAAATTTATTGACAACTTATTGACTTGGCTCTTATCTGCAGACTCTTTTTTTTCTCTCACAATATACCACAACATATCGATTTATTATGAAAATCGCAGCGCATATTGAAATGGCCATTTTTAATTTGAAGCGAATAAAAATGTTGGTTGCTAATCACACGATTTACGCCCACAATGTATCAGCAACAATTCTTACAGACACAATCAACGAAATTAGTTTTGTTGGCCTCGGATCAACGGACGATGGATTTTATTGCCATTTAAATTACCATTTTTGGACGATCCGTCTTACGTACAAAAGAAAGCAATTAAGATTATCGAATATCATCACATATTTATCGTTTTTATTGTTGTGCGTTAAAATGTAATAGGCACGATTTGTTTTTGTTTTTTTTTATAAGCGTTGGTAAATCAACTGACATTGTGTGCTTGCCCTGAACAAATTGAAAACGATTTGCATACAGCAAAGGTGATAATTTTGTATGAAATATGCTCAAGGGTCTGTCAGGCAGAGCGATTTTGAAACCATGGACATAAATGCGCAATTTAACACATAACAAAATTTTTGCTACTAAAAATAGTCAAGCTTACAGCATCAAAACCAACGCGCTGAAGAGAACAAAGACCGAGCGAAAAAAAAACTCATTCGCTCAATTCTGTACCAATTCACACACAAGCAATACAAGTGTGTTCGCAATAAAAACTAGGCCGAGTCTACCTTCTTTCCCTGCGCTACAAAATACATTGTTTTTGCCAATTAATTAAGATTATTAGACGAAATTGTGTACGATTCGTATCGTTCTTGTACGATTAAATCAATCACCATTTTATAGGTTCTTTGAAAGTTCAGTGTGATCGTGTCATAAGAGTACTTTCGATAATAAATCGAATGGTATGTGAGAGGAGAAGGAGAAAACAAGGAAAAAGATAAAAAGAGAAAGAGAATGAGCGAGGCGACAAAAAAGAGGAGAAAGAGAAAGAGAGAGAGAGGGAGAGAGAGAGAGAGAAAAAAAACTGCAAAATAAAAGCAATCTCTCAATCAATATTTCAATTGAACAGACAGCCAGAACTGGATATGTTCGAACATAATTGTTTTGTTTGTTCATTGAAGTTGTCCGGAACCCATTTTTATCAGTGTGAATTCATATATTACAGTATCGAAAGTTACATTCATACAGTATCGAAAACAGTGAATGGCATTGTTTACGGAATGGTCGATATACTTGAAACAAGTGATAAGTTTTGGATCTAGATAAGTAAAATCCTGATATTTAACCAAACTGTTGATAAAATTAGATATTGTTTATTATTCATTGATTTCCGTTCGAAATGAACAAAGCAACGGACATCCTGCAGAAAAGCGTTTGCAAACACTCGAACACACTCACGCATATCTGGAGAACAATCGGATTAATTGTCAATCATATCAGACAGTGTCGATGTGCGATATTTCTTTTCCTTTCTTTCTGCATAAGGTGATAAATTGTGGCATACTTTGCGTCGAACAGAGAAATCGCGCGCACGATTTCCAACAAATTAAACTCACACGTTCAACGACGATGTAATTTAATTAAAGTGAGAAATCCAGTTACTCGCTCCAAATGTGTCGTCCGGTTTAATTAATTGTAATTGATTACGTATC